GCAGCTATTCCTCTGAGAAGTAATCCTGAGCACTTACTTTATTATTTTTAAATAAAATTAAATCTGGCTCTTGGCCTTTAAACCTTAGGACAGATGTGAAGTCTACTATTAGATATTAAAAGGGCTTTTTAGCYCTTCTTAATATGATCTAAGAATATGAAGTTTATGGCAAGTCAGAAAATTAGAAAAGGGCCTGATATACAGTCATTTCTGTTTCTTCAACTGTATGATGTCACTGTGGTCCAGGCACAATTAAAAAGAGTGGACCCTCTCCAATGACTCCAGAAATACTTGTAGTGTTCTCAAAACAGTGGATATCTAGCCTCCACATGAGACCTGCAGTGTCTTCACATTCAGGGTAGGGTATGCAAGTGGGACATGAGTCTCAGACATTGGAAAATACTCCTGAACTACCTCTTTCTCACCTTCATCATTGTTTCATTTATATATATATATATATATATGGTTGATGGGCCTTTATTTATTTATTTATATGTGGTACTGAGAATCAAACCCAGTACCTCACACAAGCTAGTCATGTGTTCTACCATTGAGCCACAACCCAGCCCCTCCTGTATTGTTAATGTTATAYATTTTTTAATTTTCAATTTTTTTGAAAATTGTTAGCCATGGGARGATGATGATATCTTTTCAAAAAAGAAAAAGTTCAGGTTTTTTTTATACTCTTATTTAATTAGAAATGTTTAAACATTATATTCAGTTTTATCTAATTCCTTTCAACTTCTATGGAGGAGAAAAATCAGCATAGTGATTATAACAGATTTCCTAATATAGAAATACTGAACCTTTAATAAATCCTATTTCATCATAAAAAGCTAACATACTATTAATTTATGTTTGCTAATATTTTATTTAATATATARGTACCAATATTCACATGAGACTCATTTATAATTTGTTTAGCTACATTTGTTGGGGTTTGATATAGTTAACTTCAAGTAAAAGTTTCTAAGTTATTCTTTTTCTAAATTCTTTAGTTTAAATTAATTCATCACTAAATTCAAATATTTTGAGGATTGGAATTTTCCTTCTAAGTAGCTCTGGGACTATATCTTAAGGTTTTAATAGAATTCACCCATGAAACTATGCATTCCTAAGCCTTTTATACCTTTTTTCAATTGATTATTTTAGATTTCAGGTCTTTGGGTTATAGCAATGGGCAAGATGAACCACATGAATATATTAAAATCCTCTGCTCAGCATGTCATGTTATGACCATTTACATTACACTGGTCAAAGCAAGGGTACATGACCAAAGCCAAAAASAGCAGAGCAGAAAATAATACTCCATACACTGCCAACTATACCAAGGCCACTAAGAGAAAGGAAACTTACAAAAAATAAATAAATAACCTATCACAACTGAGCTAATAGTTTTATACATATCATTATTCTCAATTTCAAAGTATCAGCTTTGAGCTTAATTATGAGTTCTACTATTTTCCTGTTTTCTAATTCAATAGTTTCTTCTTTCCTTTTAATTACTTCTTTCCTTATTTTTTCTCCCCCTAAGTATTCACTTACTGCTTAATTTATTTTCATTTAAAAATTTCTTCTAATTCTTGGTTTAGCTATATTTCATGTACTTTTATATGAGTGTTTTCATGATTTTACTTTCTGAATATTTTCCAATTTCAGTTTTATCTTCACTTTTCATTAACAACATTTAAAATTTAATAAGTTGTTTTTAAAAAATTATTACTTCTCAGTTCTACTGTCTACCTGGTAATTAATGTAAGTTTTAATGCTCAATTTCCTTACTATCTATTAATCTCTGATCGTATCCAAATAAAATTAGTTATGCTACCATGAATTATATATCTGGTTTTCCTCCCAGTTTCCTAAAGCCCTTGGAATTGCCAAAGTGATAACTGTCTTTTATATACTAATGAGATAACTGGAGGCGAGGCACCCTAGATAGCTTTCAAAAGGGCAAAGACCAAGGCATGATAAGCAGAACTTTCAGCCCTACCCTGAAACCTTGGGGAAAGAAAGAGGGACTATAGCTTAAGCTAATCACCAATGGCCAAGGATAAAATCAATCATGAATACTTAACAAAACTCCCATAAAAACCTAAAGGAAAGRGTTTGGACAAGTTCTAGAAAGCTGATAAATGCAAAGGTTCCTGGAAAGGACAAGGAAGCTCTGCTCCCACTCCCACATGCCTCACCCTAAGCATCTTCTCCACTGACTGTTTATCTGTATTCTTTGTTGGTATAAAAACTATTCATTACCTAGGAAAGCTTGCAGTGAAATAAGAAGGACTTTACAAAATGTGATAATGAAGGAAATGGGTGGGGAAGCTAGTCACTTTCCTTAACTCATCTTCAGATGAGGATCAAAACAGTGATTGTGGTTGCAAAGTAAAAGAATGCACTCATAAAAACATATGAAGGTGGGCTGTGGTTGTGCTTCAGCAGTAGAGTTCACGGGAGGCCCTGGGTTCAGTCCTCAGCACCACATATAAATAAATAAAATAAACAAATTGTGTCCAACTACAACTAAAAAAATAAATATTAAAAAAAAATATGAAGAAATTCACCTGTACAGTGGACATGCAACCTGTCATATATATTTCTTCCTGCTTGAGGGCATGATGTAGCCCTCCATCTACATCCTGCCAATTCAAACCCTCAAAGTTCTTTCCTTGGGGATCTGTAAACAGTATGCTGGGGCATTTGCAGCCCTGAGGCTGAACACTGTTATAATGAACAGTAAATAGTTCCCTTGAATTCTATGAGCCACTCTAGCAAATAAATTGAACCTAAGGAGAATTTTGTGGGAACCTCCAATGTATAGATGGGTCAGAAGTATAGGTGACAGATAACCTACTGCTTGCAAATGGCATTTGAAGTGGGGGAATGGGACTTTTTAGATATTTCTTAACCAGTGGGATCGGATACTATCTTAAGTAGACAATGTCAGAACTGAGTTGGATTGAAGGATACAGAGCTGGTGTCTACTAGAGAACTGGGTGTGCAGAAAAATACCCCCACATACCTGGCCTAAGAGGTGTTGTGTGGGGTGGYGATTGAGAGTAGGATAAACACTTTAATTTGTTTTCCTCATTACATTAGCATATTTCTTTTTCCTACCTCTCTCCTTTACCCATCCAATTTTATTCTCTGTTAAATAATGTTCTTGTCTTTATTACTTGATTTTTAGGTGGGTTCTAAATGGCATTTTTTGATATTCTACTTTCTAGGTATTAAAGATTAAATATGCAACCTCTTATCTTCTTCCTTCTACCATCATTTTTTTAGTTATATCATTCATATAAGAAAGGTTAATACATTTACATTGCATTGAATCATCATAATGCTCAAAAATGCTTCAGTTTTAGTCTATAATTAAAGATCTATCTATGCTCATTGCCAGTCCTTTTGCTGTATTTTTTCCAGTTATAGCTTGGTTTGTTGAAATTTGTACTCAAATCTGGTTTCTTCAGAAGCTCTCAAGAACCATATGTCTCAGTACTTATACATTCAAAAGGTTTTCTGCCTTTATACGTGAAACACGATATAAAATTTGGGAATTACTTTTTCCTTGAGGACTTTATTATAGGTATTACCTTACTTTTTATTTACTGTGGAGAAATCCAAGGCCAGCTTGAATTTCCCCTTTATCTGTGCCTGGCTGCCAAAGCATTTTATTGTTGAGTTTTTTGGGAGAAGTCTACAAATTTTACTAAAATATGTCTCAGTGTTAATCATTCTAGGGCAATTTTCTCTGAGTGATGGTATACCTTTTTCGATATATAAATTCAAATTTTCTGCTATTCTATGGAAATACAATTTTTGAAATTGTGTCTTTTCCTTTCCTTCTTATCTTTTTTTATTTTCTCACTCTGCCTACACAAGGAGTACAACCATGATCCCCACAGTAGCATGAACCATATCCAGTGCCCAGCTCATGGTCTCCAAATATTATTCTAAATAATAAAGTAAGAAAAAATAAAAATAAGTAGCCCCTTAAAGAAATAGCTAGTTCCAAGTTTGAGGCAGAGAAAAAAATCCTTCATGATCCTGGAATATTTTATATTATAAAACAGAGATTTTCTAATTTCCTTCATGCACCCTCCCAATGCATTGGTCTCAGGTACTCTTTAAAAATTACTGCTAGTTATCTAAAATAACTCTAAACACATTCTGTTCTACCCTATTCTAACTGAGCAGTACAAAATTAAAGTGACATCTCACAGATATTTAGCAGGTAAACCCAGACCAATTTTTTTAAAAGCCAAATACTGAATACTCAAGTCATATCCACTGAATACTCAAGTCATACCCACCCATATCCACTGAGACACACACACACTGACTGCTCAACCATTCCTATAGGGTTATTTACTTATTCCTATAGGGTTAGTTCTCATAGAAAAATTGCTCCTCCCACCCTGAAAATTGTTTTCGAAGTTTACATAAACAATTAATGTCTGAGGAGATGGCAATTACAGCCTACAGGAAGGCCACATATTTTTGTAAACAAGGTTTCTTGGGAACAGACACACCCATCCATTTGTTTAAGCATTGTCTGGTGCTGCTTTCAAGCTACAATGGCATTGCTAAACAGCTGCAACAGAGATATGTAACATAAAAATTTTACCAGCTAGCCTCTAAGAACAAGCTTGTTGCCTCTGCTCTAGTCCTTGATTCCTTTAAGCCATATCCCGTCTTTGTATCTTTTCATGCTACCAAAAAGTATACCATCTGCATTATTTTACTAAAGTGCAGTCAAACAGAAAGAATGCCTAAATCCTGGACCAGGTAAGAGGTCTTGGTTTTGCCTGAGGCAAGGCTTCCTCAGAATAGAAAAGGTACTATTTATTTTTCCAGACTCCCTTCTACTCCCAACAAGTTCAAGATAATACTCTAGGAAGAAATTATTCTTTGATTAAAGCATTTCTTCAAGTTAAATATTTTTAGTGGAAAATTGAGCTGACAAATATTCATAAATTAAACATTATTTGGCTCCTTACTTCTGATAGCAAATTCTCCAGAGACACAGGATCCATCTTGCTGTAGACATTCCAGAGATTCAAACTCACATCCTGCAACTGCAACAAAAGGCAAAGACATTAAAATAATTAATTCAATTCATTAGAACAATCAAAGTTATTTTCTGAAGCTCCGAAATTAATATCTTGGTGCTAGAATGAGCAATTAAAATTCCAGAAACTTGGGAGGATGCAGGAGGATTGCAAGTTCAAGGCCAGCTTCAGCAATTCTTCAAGACCCTTAGAACCTTGGAATCTGTCTCAAAATAAAAATTTAAAAATAAATAAAAAGAACTGGGATTGGCGTGATGGCACAGATCTGTAGTCCCAGCAGCTCAGGCGGCTGAGACAGGAGGATCACAAGTTCAAAGCCAGTCTCAGCAAAAGTGAGGCACTAAGCAACYCAGTGAGACTCTGTCTCTAAATAAAATACAAAATGGGGTTGGAGATGTGGCTCATTAGTGGAGTGCCCYCGAGTTCAATCCCCAGTACCCCCCCCCAAACACACACAAAAAGACTGGGGCTGTAGCTCAATGGTAGAGAGCACCTGGGTTCAATCCTAGTACCAAAAAAAAAAAATTACTACCTTGGTATGAACCCAGTGAGATTAAAATAATAAATCAAAAATTTTAGTCAATTAAATTAGAACCTATACATTTTTAAAAATGCTTTCTCATTCAAGAAAACTGTTTTTTTCCAGAATCTCTGGAATATTCTTTATGTTCAATGTGTGTGTATACATATATACATACATACGTATATACAAATATGTATATATTTAATCTATGCACATGCAGACATGTCCACTGTGTTTTTTGCCTTTGTTTAAAATAAAATTTTAATCAAAATAATGTGTCCATGGTATAAAATATCTAATAGTATAAAAGCTTGCAATAAAAAAAATTCTAATCCCCTATTCTGACCTTTTACAAACYTCCACTAGGTTCACTTCTCAGAAGTGACCGTTTAAAGCTTTTTACATTTTCTTTTTAAAATTGATTTATTTTTTATTGGTTCTTCTTAGTGTATAAGAGAGTAGATTCCATTTTGATAAAATTATACCAGCATGGAATATATCTTATCCTAATTAAGACCCCATTCTTATGGGTGGGCATGATAATGTTTGTTATGTACTTTCACATTTTGATGTATGTTTCTATCACTGCTTCTTCTTTTTTTTAACTAAACTTTTTTATATACCTTTATTTATATTTTTAAATTTTTATGTGGTGCTGAGGATTGAACCCAGTGCCTCCCACGAGCTAGGCAAGTGCTCTACCACTGAGCCACAACCCTAACCCCTTCACTACTTCTTATCAATCCAGAAATTAAATATTAACTTATGGCAAAGATGCAGCTCTCCTATGCTCAACCCATTCCCACACTTTTTCTCTACACACACTTAACATAACATTACTTTCTATCATGATACTACTTTTTTGTTTACATCRCTAATTATTACTAATGACACTAAAAACCTTATAAATATTATTTATTGAAGGCTAAATGCAGATGCATTTCTTTTTTAATGTAACTTTTAAAATTTGTTGCTTTTAGATATACATGATGGTAGAATGTATTTTCACATATTATATGTACATGGAGTATGACTTCCCATTCCTGTGGTCAAACTACACTTCTTTTTTGCTTTCTTATTTTTCTCTTATTTTAATTTTCTTAGAAGTACTAACAGATGTTTTTTCTTTTGAGACAGTCTCTCTATGTTACCCAGGCTGTGCTCAAATTCATGATCCTCCCACCTCATCTTCCCAAATAACTGGTATTGTAGATGTGTGCCACATTGTCTAGCCCACAGCTTCATTTTTTTTATTTGCATAATTTTTAGAAATCAATCCTAAACTTTCTAACTGCTCTACCCAATTTTTTTTTAACTTTTTTTTTTTGAGAGAGAGAGAGAGAGAGAGAATATTTAATATTTATTTTTTAGTTTTTCGGCAGACACAACATCTTTTGTTTTGTATGTGGTGATGGGGATCGAACCCGAGCTGCACGCATGCCAGGCGAGTGCGCTACTGCTTGAGCCACATCCCCAGCCCAACCCAATTTGTTTATTAAAAGATTTCTCAACAATGATACTATTGTCATTTAGGACCTGGTATTTCTTTGCTGTGTGGGGTCTCCCCTATGTAATATAGGATGCTGAGAAGCCTCTGTGGCCTCTATTCACTGGTTGCAAATAGCACCTCCCTTCACCTCAAAGCCAAACCAAAAATATTTCCAATACTGTCAAATGTTTGAGAGCAGGCGAGGGCAAAATCATCCCCAACCGAGAACAACTGACTTAAACTAAAATACTCCATTCTCTTTCTTCCCTTGTTTCACTCTGGCCCAGCTATTGTGCAAGCTTGCACAGCTACAACATTCACTTTGAGTCTTCTCTTTGCTATTATCCTGAAGCTCTCAGATGACAGATTTAGTCCCATGACTTACTTTTCTCCTTTTTCTTGGTTAACCTCCTTGTTTACTGACACAGAACATTCAATAACTTTCTAAAAGGGATTAAGTGGGAAACAAACTTTTTTTTCAAATCTTTATTCTGTTCTCATGACTGTACTCCTTTTTTTTTTTTTAATTCTTTAATCTCTCTGTGTTTCACCTTGAATAGTTTCTACTACTATGGCTTCAAATTCATTAATCCTTTTTTCTACAATAGCCAATCTCAGCTAATGTATTTTTTAGGTTAGCTACTACAGTTTTCATCTCTAAAAGTTGTATTTGGGTCTGGTCTTTTTTGTATCTTCTATGTCTTAATCTTTCCTACAGTTCCTTGAATACAGAATATAGTTATAATAACTGTTTTAATGTCCTTATCTACTAATTCTAATATTTCTGTCAATTCTAAGTGAATTTTATTTTATTTATTTGTTTTATTGCTAGGGATTAAACCCACAGCCTATCATATTAGACAAGCACTCCATCACTTATTTATAATCGCTGCTGAATTCAAGGTAAATTATGATGACTGACTACCTCATTATCAATCATGTTTTCCCTACTTCTTTCAAACTTGATAATCTTGGATGCCAGGCACTGTGAATTTTATCTTGTTTGTATTCCTATAAACATTCTTGTGCTTTGTTCTGGGATACAGTGAAGTTGATCCTTTTAGGTCTTATTTTTTATGAATTATTATGAGGGTGAAAAGCAGTGCTTAGTCTAGGGATGATTATTCTCCAACCGTCCTGAATACTCTGCCTCTCAATTACGTTTTTCCAGTCTAACTGGCAGGAAGGGGTACTATTCCCAACCCTGAGCACAAATCAGGCCCTWTTCTTGAATCATTTAAGACGGCTCTTTTTCTTAGGCCTTGGCAGTTAAGTTACCTCACACACAAGTACAATGATCAATATATTCCACTGAATACTTCAGGTATGGGACTCTCTGCAGATCTCAGAAACTGGCTCTCTCTCTGGTGGTTCTTTCCTCTTTAGCATTCTGGCTGTCTTGGTATTCTGGAGGTCCTAACCACTTCTTCTGACTCAAGGAGTACACTGGGATCTACCTGAGTCAACCTCCTTGGGACATAGTCTAGGAATTTTCTCAAAGTTGTAAGCTGAAGCAATCATGGGATTCACCTTGCTTATTTCCACCTCTCAGGAAATCATTATTCTTCATTGCCCAATGCCTAGTTTCTTGAAAACCATTGTTATACCTATTTTTTTTTTTTTTGTGGGGAGGAGGTGGATTTACTTCCTCTATCTATTATTTGTTTTTGCTAAGGTGAAGATAACATTTGGCAAATACCTGATTGCCTGTCACTCAGGGGGCAGGGGGAATGGCAGAGGGCRATACAGGTTGTTATATAACAATCTTCAACTAATTCCTTCATTTTTAATATCACCAATTTTCATTCTCTGTCCTTTTATCACCTTCTTCACTAATCTAATCTGTTTAAGCCCCTTCTACCATACTCTGAAAAAGCTTTTCAAGTATATCAACTAATTAGTTTTTTGAGGGGACTGAATCTGATATCTCTTTTTAATGTAAATTTTAATTCTACTAATGAATTATGGATTTTTTTTTTACAATCTTTCCTTATAGTCATCCACCTCCCTTTTAATTCCACTCATCTGCTGTATCTCATTTCTCTTTTTACAAACTTCATTCTTAAAAGGTACAAAAGGGAGGGTTTTTTTTCACTTTTGTTTGATAGAAAAAAWTTTTTTAAAAGCATGTTATTTATCTTTGCATTTAGTATGCTATGGTCTCTTTCTTATATTTCATTGAATCTTTTCATAAGTCTTATTCCACCTCTCAATATGAAGAGCTTATGTTTGTCTATAAATAAGTAAAAGAATGTTAATGGTAGCCTTGTTTTTCAGAAGCTTTCTCTTAGGATCCTCCCCTTAGGGAGCTGGTTGTTATAAATTAACATTAGCAGTTCACAGTTCCAGAAGCTGGAGGGTAACAAGAAAGCAGAGGCAGGAAAACCTGAGCAGAGGAACTTTCCCTTACTGCTTCCAGGAAAAATAGTTCTCCATATCCATGACCCAGTGTAATGAGTCTAAATGCCAAGCAAAAACTATGGCTGGGTCTGGCTTCCTTTTTCRTGTTGGCATCTATCACATCAGAGACAAAACACCCTATGGGTGGATGATTTTTTTTTTTTTTTTTGTACTGGGAACTGAACCCAGAGGGGCTTAATCACTGAGTCACTGAGTTATATCTCCAGTCCTTTTTAAATGTTTGTTTTTTAATTTTGAGACAGGGTTTCACTAAGTTGCTTAGGGCCTTGCTAAATTGCTGAGGCTGGCCTTGAAYTTGTAATCCTCCTGTCTCAGCCTCCTGAGCTGCTGGGATCACAGGAGTACACCACCACACCCAGCAAATGACTTTAAGTATGGCMATACAATAAAAGAGAATTTTTAAAAATTAAGTTATAAGTATCTATAGTTCTCTTTTTCTTATCTTTCATAGAGTCAAGAGTTAGCCGGGAGTTGTGGTGCAGCAGCTCAGGAGGCTAAGGCAGAAGGATCGAAAGTTCAAAGCCAGCATCAGCATCTTAATGAAGCCCTAAGCAACTGTGTGAGACSCTGCCTCTAAATAAAATATTTTAAAAAGGGCTGGGGATGTGGCTCAGAGGTTAAGCACCTTGGGTTCAATTCTTGGCACCCAAAAATAAATAAATAAATAAACAAACAAACAAATAAAGGCAAGAGTCTTTTGGGCCTGGGCAGTCATCAGGCCATCAAAGTGGAACAGAGAGGACACTGGCAGTGCCAATCTGYAGACCAAACTACTCCTCACCATAAAGGACTGGGAAGGGTAGGGTAAAGAAAATAACTACATGGGGSGACTGGGGTTGTGGCTCAGTGGTAGAGCACTTGCTTCGCGTGTGTGAGGCCCTGGGTTCAATCCTCAGCACTACATAACAATAAATAAATAAAGATACTGTGTTTATCTACAACTAAAAAGAATTTTTAAAAAATAACTAGATGGGGTAAATGAGATGGAGACAAAAAAAAAAAGAGTAGCTGGGAGAATAAAAATTAGCAGTTACATACAAGGGCAGGAGCTGGAGAAAGGAACCTGGAGAGAGACCTTGTAGTAAATATGATGCATATATTTTCCTTCTCATGGCCTCTCTCTAGTATAGATCTACATTATCTTTCAAAATTTTTGAGGAGAGGTTTTTGTTTTGTGTTTTTGTTTTTTGTTCCTGCAAACATGACTTCATGATGTGCAGTACGTTAAGGCCAAAAGCCCATCTCACTTGGGTTACATCAAGGATACAGCCTTCCAGTATACCATCAAGATATAGCCTAGGGTCAGGGGCACAGCCTCGGAAGGCAGACCACCTTGCCCCAGCCCTGCCACTCACTGTGACTTAGGGAAATTCATCTAACCTTTCTATAAAAGAGAGACATAAAGTAGTACCTAGCTTGGAGGGTTTTTTTTAACATGAAGTGCTGGCATAGAAAAGGTACTCTGTAATAGGCTGGGATTGTAGCTCAGTGGCAAAGCATTTGCCTTGCATTTGCAAAGCCCTGGGTTCAATCCCCAGTTCCAAAAAAAAAAAAAAAAGATTAAAAAAAAAAAAGAAGAAGAATAGGTACTCTGTAAGTGCGTAAGTGCTTAGTTCATACAATTAATTTTAAAAAAATATTCTATTATTTTAAAACTGTTTACCTTCCTCTATGCCCCACAGGGCCTGTCTCCCTTCAATCTCCTTCTCATCTGAATTAGAGTATTAYTTCCTAACAGTGGCAGCTCTTGCAGCTTTGTTAATGCTCTGCTACTTGTAGTCAGTATGAGAATACTGTGCTTTGGGAGCAGGAAAGGTACAGTCCAAGTGATAGCATCCCTCTTCCCTCTAGCCCTCCTTTAGCACATGCTGCTTCATATTAGAGGATGTGATGTGTTCCCACCAGGCAAACCTCCACATGTCCTGAGGATATTGGTACTACTCAGAAGGAGAGCCAGGAATCAGCCCTGTGCCTTGTTTCTAAAGGTCCCACTTGGGGCTGCGGGTAGTACAACACTAGCCTCAAATGCATGAGGACCTGGGTTCAATTCCCAGTATAGCAAAAATTAAAATAAAGGTCCCATTTACTCCCTCCCTAACAGAATGTCCCATTTCTAGCATGACAATGCTTCCCATCCCCGGTTTCCTGTGCTGGGGCAGGTCATGTCAGTGGTGATCCTATGGAGGCATATGAATGCCTGTCRTCCATGCTACTAGACTATAAGGCCATCCTCCCTACTCTCTACCCTGAATGATCCCATCTCCCAGACTCACTCATTAACTCACTTGACAAATATTTATTCATTATCTCCTAGATGCAAGGAATACTGAAATAAAAGATTTTGTTTTACCACAAAAGCTAACCATTTTATTTCCTCTACTAATACTGTATTTATACAAAACCCTGCATTGTCCCTTTCATTGTTCTTGAACAGTTGTCAAATTACCTGACTGAGGTACAAAAAACAACAAAAACAGGGCTCTGTATACCTACTCAAGGAGCTTGCAGTCAGAGACCAGAAGTGAGTGGGTGAGTGGAGTATGTATGACAAGTGTGACAACAGGACAAACACTGCAAGAGAAGTTAGCCTTGGGTGCTATAGGGGTAGACAGGAAGAACACCTAACTCAAAATGGGGAAAGAAAGAGAAGTTCCAAGAGAAACTTCAAAGAAAAGAGGATGTAAGAGCTCAGTTTGGAACTAGGTTCAAATACCAACTGTTTTCCATTTCAAGTCTTCTAATTTGTCCCATGTCCTGGCATGTGGCGAGGCACTGGGTTCGATTCTCAGCACCACATAAAAATAAAATAAAGATAATGTGTCCACCTAAAACTAAAAAAATTAATATTTTAAAAAGAAGGAAAAAAAAGAATACAAGCTTGTGGGGCTGGGGTTGTGGCTCAGTGGWAGACCACCTGTCTAGCATATGGGAGGTAACTGCCAGTTTTCAATGTGTTATAACAATGCACACTTAYATTGTGGGTCCCTTCACAAAAATAGTCCAGTGGCACACAAAACCCAAACATATTACCTTTCATACATACCTCATATTTCATGGTAAAAAATCCATCCCCTCCAATGCCCTCCAGTGCAAAGGCCTGTACAATTGGCCATTTTTCCACCACAAACATATCAAATATCTGCAAGTGACCTAGAGGAATCAAATACAACAACACATATCAAATAGCATCCTAGATATAACTGTCTAAACTGATCTAATGTGGCTGGACAGGCATTATTTCTCACAAGTTCACCAGGATCTCATCTGATAAAATAAATTTCAAACAGTTAGGTATTGAAACTAGAAATACATAATAAAAGCCAAGGAAAATTAAAAGCATAAGCAAGTGATATTGGTTTCCTAATTAAGTAATTAAGTAAAAAATGAGTAGTATATTATATTTGAATTGCATTATTTAGTAGGTGTAATTATTAACAGACCCAAAATTGACTCTTTTCCCTTAAGAATTAAGCAATCAACTTCCTCAAGGGCAAACTACCAAATCAAAAATTTTCCTTTAACAATAGCTTAAACATGCAAAGCTTTTTCCCACCTACAACATAAAATATTGCTAAATTTGTTGGGTTTTCTCTCTATTCTCCACATCCATTTTTGAGCCTGAAAGCATATTTTTAAATGACTGTACAAATTATTATTTCTTATTACCAAGAGGCCCCATATCTAAACTCTATATAATAAGCAATAGAGATTATATATCAATTGTACTAAATAAATAGCCTATCAGTTCTTCTATCTGAACGTAAGTGGCTTGCTGTGTTCATATGGAAATTTCACAATTAAGAATACAAGCTTGGACTGGGGATGTGGCTCAAGTGGTAGAGCGCTCGCCTGGCATGTGCGAGGCACTGGGTTAGATCCTCAGCACCACATAAAAATAAAATAAAGATAATGTGTCCACCTAAAACTAAAAAATAAATATTTTAAAAAGAAGAAAAAAAAAGAATACAAGCTTATGGGGCTGGGGTTGTGGCTCAGTGGTAGAGCACCTATCTAGCATATGTGAGACACTGGTATAAATTTTATAAATAAATAAATTTTATAAATAAATTTTATAAATAAATAAAATAAAGGTCCATCAACAACTAATAAAAATATTTTTTAAAAATACAAGATTTTATAGAAAATCCCCAATTTCATTTCATTTGATCCTTTGCCTAGTAAAAATGGATCAAGGGGTTTCTCAATGAAAGCCTTCAATGAAAGAGAAGTAGGGACATTCAATTCACACACCATCCAAGCAAGGCTCTTTTTTTTTAGATTATTTTCACTTTACTTATACAAGACAAAAAATTTGCAAGTGAGGTATAGTCATTCAGGTCCCCCTGCAAATATTTTATATATAACATAAAATTTAGATGAAACACTGATCTTGGGTTACACTTATTTTTACACAAATAGTTWGCAGAATGGATTGCTYTTCTTTACATTTAACAAATAACTAAAATTGAACAGCAAATAGTTTATTGGTTAAGTACATGGTTTCAACTSCAGTTATAAATTCACTTGAACAGGAAACAATAATCAAGTCAAAAGAATAAATGCTTGCTAATCATCAGAAAATCTGTGGCCATTTGTGCTGTCTYGTAGAAATCCAAAATCACGCAGAGGCCAGATCTTAAAGAAGATTCGTCCTCTTATTAGTCTATATGGAGTAGGTCCATAATACCTGGAATCTGTAGAATTCTGTAAATTATCACCTTCTAACCAAACATGACCTGTTGGCACATAAATACAGCTTTTAAAGAAATCTGATGGACTAGTGGTGAGGATTTTGTCTCCTTCTAAACCAATTACTTTTTTACAAATATTTGATTTTGGATCACTTGGGCTTTTTGCAATCACAATGTCACCTCTTTGGATACCATAAAAATGTCAGCTAAGATTTTCTGCAAAGACAATATCTGAATTTTGAATTGTTGGCTCCATTGATGGTCCAGAATACATAGGTCTGTTCTGCAATCCATTCAATTTTAGGGTAGTTGCAGGGCTTCCAGGAAGAAATCTAAAGAATGTCTCAAAGCATATGTGGGTGATACATGGTTTCAGGATTCCTCTGGCCCCAAAGAACCTGGAGAGACCCTCACCCAAGACTCAGGTGGGCCTTTCTCCAAGCAAGGTTCTTTTTTTAGAGGCTGCGGGGAGAGTTCCAGGGACTGCATTAGGCCACATCCCCAGCCTATTTTATATTTTCATTTAGAGACAGGGTCTCACTGAGTTGTTTAGCACCTTGCTTTTGCTGAGGCTGGCTTTGAACTTGCAAACTTCCTGCCTCAGCCACCAGAGCTATTAAGATTATAGGTGGGGCTGGGGATGTGGCTCAAGCGGTAGCGCGCTCGCCTGGTATGCGTGCGGCCCGGGTTCAATCCTCAGCACCACATACCAACAAAGATGTTGTGTCTGCCGAGAACTAAAAAATAAATATTAAAAAAAAACTCTCTCTCTCTCTCTCTCTCTCCTCTCTCACTCTCTTTAAAAAAAAAAAAAGATTATAGGTGTATGCCACCATACCCTGCTTCAAGCAAGGTTCTTAAATGGCTTGCTGTCACTCACCTTGGGAGCTGTAAGGAATGCCAATTCTACTACAGTCTCGAACCATGTCTACAAAGCTGGAAATTTTAAATTCTTCTGCAGCTTCCTCATCTTCATACTAAAGATGGAAATTAAAAGGCAAACAGACTCTGATGAGACACCATGAAAAGTTCTACATTTTTCTACATTTTTTAAAAAAATCTTTATTTATTTATTTTTATGTGGTGCTGAGGATGGAATCCAATGCCTCCCACGTGAGGGGCAAGCTCTCTACCACTACCCACAGCCCCAGCCCCTTTTTTCTATATTTATCAGTGTTGTCCCAAGACATTTATAGAAGACTGCACCCAAGAGGGTATTTTCAAAGCCAAACTATTGAAATTGCTGGTCAGAAAAATTTGTCATTCCTTTACAATCATACACAAAAATCAACTGAAATCATACACAAAAATCAACTCAAAATATATCAGGACATCTAAGGCAAGGCATAAAATTTATCCTCCCTCACCCTCAAATCTTCAACATACAAAGAAGAGTTCTTGACCAATATCAGGTCACAACTTTCATAAAATCTTCAAACTCAAATCTCAATTTGATTTCCAGCCAAATTCTTGAAAAGGACCCAAAGGGAAACAGAAGCAGATACCAGGAAACCCAAAGACAAAAATGTCACAAAGCTGAAAAAAAATGTTGAGGGTAGTCCCCAAAGCACTAGTCCCAGAAGACAGTGGTCTCAGGCTGGTGTAGAAGCAGCAGAACAGGAACATAGGTTCCAAGCCTACTACTAGGTCCTGATTCCAACAACCCTTTTTTGTCACCTTCAGGCAAACAATTTATCTAAAAGGTAATTTCAAAATGAAATATAAAAATCTCTACTTAAACTATTTTGAGGGGCTACCTGTTCCAGACCAACACTTTCCTTAAACAAGTGCCCATTTGATCTTTTTTCCTCACCTCGTTTTCAGTCATGCAGTGGAAATGCAGATTTCTCCAATGTGCCACATAGGGTAAKAGATAACGATAGTTGATAGGATTACAGTACAGATGGACACTGTCTGATTTAATCAATATAATTACATCTGTAAGAAAACAAAAATCAAGACACAAAATTGTCAAAGGCTTTTCCTTTATATAGTTCTTATCCAGAAAATTAGTCAAACCATTAAGGGCTGGGGATGTACAAGTTTAGTGGTAGAGCACTTACCTGGCATGCAGGAAACCCTGAGTTCAAGACCCTACACCACCAAAAAAACCCAATCAATTATTAAAAGTATTTTGAAAACAATGTAACAAAACTAATAATAAAATTATTTAATTAGGCAATGTGCTTCAAAGCAAATAAAACATTCAAATGTTGACGATGAATTTCCTGGTCTCCATGGCCCTCTGGTTATAGCAATGCAGGCACCAAATAACCAGTCTTGATCAACCAAAACATGGTGTTTTGCAAGGGTCAACACAGTAAWATCTGTGGTACCAAACTCAGCTGTGTACTTCAATACATAGATAAATACCAAATGGAAACCTCATGGTTTAAGCCCTCTCAGACAGGAAAACAGCACCAACTATGGCCAATGATGGTGCTMTCACAAAGATCAGTGTCTAAAGCTCTTGACTACTGGCTTAACTAGCTCCAGGCAATTGTGGTCCTGGATACTGCATGTCATCTTTGGGAAAGCTTACTGTGTACACAGGAAAGGCTGGGAGGAAGGAAGTTGAGGCAAGGGGAAAGAGCTTCTGTAAATAGATCAGCACAGCTCACAGATTTAAGGAACGGCCATCAACAATGGTAAATCAAGCAAATAAAGCAATCCTAAAGGTATAAATAAAACCAGGTAAATGGGAGAGCCATGGACTAGGAAAGCAATATTAAAGTAGTAGGAACACTGAGAATGAAAGGAGCCATACCTCCAGAATAGAAGCAGAGGTTTCATTCCATGGTTCCTCTGAGACCAGAGCCACCAGGCTTCTAATAAGATGAAGCCAGAAGTCACTGGAGGTAAAAAGGTACATAGGGAAGAGGAGCATCTGGTGTGGGACAATTGGAGCAATGCCAACACACAGTGCAGTGTAACTGACCACACTTTATGAAAAATATTATAAGTATAATAAATACAAGCCATAGTTGACCACATAGTAAGGTAGCCTCCTAAACAGAGTTCCATGGTGCTAGCCTTTTAAGCCACTCTGCACTTCACATCTGGTCAGCCCAGAGCATTCTGGAAACAGCCTTTTCACTGTGGACTCTCAGGTAAGTGCTAGAGTCAAAAGGTAGCAAAAGGTAGGAAAGGGGGGTAACCTCTCATCTCTCAGTACTGGGTTTCCTCAYCTCCCTCTCTAGAGCCCTGTCCTAAATTACCTTCTGAGGAGTGTGAGCTTGATGTCACCCAGAGAGACTGAGACACTCTACATTGAAGTGCAACATGCTTCAGAGAACTAGGATACTATAAAGGGCATAGTAAAAGCCAGRCACAGTGGTCTGTAATCCCAGTGACTCAGGAGACTGAGGCAGAAGGATTACAAATTCAAGTCCAATCTGGGCAATTTAGCAAGACCCTGTCTCAAAATAAAAAATAAAAAGGGCTGGGAACATAGCACAGTGGCAGAACACTTTTTTTTCACAAGAAAAAAAAAGTTTAAAACTGAACAGCTGATGTATTCTCAGAATCTCAACAGACTGATGTCATCATTATAAACATGAGTTTAACAGTATACAGGCAGGTAAAAGAATAAAGTATATATGAGTTGAATATGTTCAATATTTTTAAAGTTTTTTTAAAAAATAAGTCACTCTTATTGGTCCTTTTGCCTTTTATATATTTAGTGAGTTAACTATACAAGCAGAAATGTGATCAGAGTTTTTTAAAAATGGATTTGCTAATTTGGAGTAAAATGCTCATTTGCTAAGCACCTATTGTGTCAGGTGACAGGATAAAGACAAAAATAAGCAAAGTAAAGCACCTTTTAGAATTTCAAGTATTTCCTTAATTTCAGTACTGTAATGTCCTTAGCAGCCCTGGCTATAGTGAAATGTGTAGCTGATACAAGTTGCCAAGATTAATTCTTTCCAAACAAGCAGAGCTATACAATGTAAGAAAAAAATTTTTGAATCAAAATCTGAAACGTAATTTGAATTKAAAAAAAGTCAACAGAAGGGGGATTTTCAATTAATTCTATACTTTCTAATAAAAARGAGAGCTTTAATTAATATAAGGTATAAACATAACTAAGGACTTTACCACAGAAGATCAGGGTTTCTCAACTTTGGCACTACTGACAATTTGGATTAAATAATTCTTAGGGGCTGTCCTGGGCATTGTGGGATGTTTACCAGCATCCCTGACCTCTACCCACTGATGCCAGTAGCACTCCCCACACAATTGTAACACTCAAAATATGTCTTCAGACATTGTCAAATGTCCCCTGGGGGACAAAAGTGCCCCCAGCTGAGAACCACTATACTGAAGCAAGATCATTTCACATCAGATGTTTGCTTTCATGGCTCCCCCAGCTGCCTCACAACAGTTGTCTGTCTCCTGTCCAGTTTTATTTGCCTGCTCCTGTCTCCTGACCCATCTGGCAGACAAGTCATGATGCTAAGTATGTGATATCAGAGATAGCTCCTGGGCAACAGCCCACTGCAGCATCAACACAGGCAGAGTGTCTCAGAGCTAAGAAAAGAGGAATGTAAGCAGAAAGCCTGCATTGTAGTCACAGGCATCATCAGGAATTAAAGTCACACAGAAAACAATTCCAAAAGATAGCAGGACAAAGAGCTTTTGTTCCTCAGCTGAAGAGCCACAAGAAGTCTTCCTTGTAGGGGCAGCCTGCAGGCTCATCCTTGCTTCACAACTAAACATGCTTTCACTGGATAACAGCACATATCTGAACCTTCAGCCTTAGAGGCAAATTATGGAGCCTTAATGGGAAATTACGAGGAAAACTAATATCTTGCCAAGAAGATATAAAGCCAAATACTGATGTTTACTTTCTTCTCCAAAGTTGATTTACCCAGTAAATATATTCTGAAAATAACTTGTTCCTATTTACTTATCCAGTGGGTGACCAATAATACTTAATATATCAACAAAGAATAAATGTTATTTTTCACTGTCAAAAAGGCAAAAATTTAGAGCTAGGGATGTGGCTCAGTGGCAGAGCACTTGCCTAGCACACGAGACACTGGGTTCGATCCTTAGCACCACTTAACAAATAAAATAAGGCTTTCTGTCCATCTTCAACTACAAAAAATTTTTAAAAAGGCAAAAATTTTGCCAGATGTGGTGATACATGCCTGTAATCCCAGCTACTTGGGAAGCTGAGGTAGGAAGATTTTGAGTCTAAGGCCAGCCTGGGCAATTTAGTAAGACCCTGCCTGACTTGAAAAGAAAAAGAAGAAAACATGAGAAAAAAAATAAAAGACAAAAATTTTAATGGGGCTTTTATTTTAAATTTGATCATACTTTTCCATAAAAAAATCATGAACTAACAATGCAAAGAAATAAACTCTTCTCTCACATAGAATTTTACCAACATAGACTTACCATCGAGAACTTCTTCAGAAAATCCCGTTTTCTCAAAATCACTGATATTCTGATTGTATAAACCAAACAGAAGATAATTTGCCAGCTCTCTGCAGCCTTCATTGTACCTGCTATCAATTCCTGCAAGGCAAAGAAAGTTCTGATCAGCTGTTCTGTACTATGGGAGGCAAATGAGCCCCAATACTTTGCCCCTGCTTAGCAAAACTCTGATGATCAAAGATGGCAGCTCATATCATCCAATATCCTTACTTGGATTCCAAGATCTAAATATTTAGCTTAGAAAATCAAACAGCACARATTATTGAGACTAAAAATCAAATCCTGAGGATGTAAGGAACCAGATAATAATGCTTTGAGTCCTTCTATGGCTTGTTTAAGAGCTTAGAATACTCTCAGTCTTAAAAATAGATGTCTTAAAAATATTCACCTTTTTTTTTATATGGTGCATGGGGATTGAACTCAGGAAAATTCTATCACTGAGCTATGTACATCCCCAGCCCTATTTTTTAACAGGGTATCACTAAGTTGTGTACAGTCTCACTAAGTTRCTAAGGCCAGCGTTGAACTTGCTATCCTCCTGCCTCAGCCTCCCAAGTCACTGGAATTTCACATGTATGCCTCCACTCCTGACTAATATTCATTTCTTGTGAAGATCTTTAGCAAAACATGTGGATGCAAATAAAGGCAATTAAGGTGGCTTGAAAATAGCGTGAAGAAGATAACAAGTGAATGATACTATAAACACTCAGCATCTCATAAATATTAAGAGCAAGAAGATTAAGCACTGCACTGGATGCTGGACTACCTGCTAATGGCATTCATAAAGCTTACAGTCTAGTGAAGCTGGGTCAGAGATAATAAAAAGGCAATTAAATGATGCTGTCTTCACTACTGCCTCTTGATGCTTCACATATATATACAATCTGGTTCTGGATATCTGTAAAGTCCCAGAGCCATAGCAAGAGGAAAGGGTCTGGCAGAAGGAGTTCTAAGAATAAGAGTAAGGTAAGTGCTCCTTATCTCATTGGTGTCTCTCTATCCAACCTCATTAAAACAGCCACAGATTTCAGGGGAATGAAAGCTAGGAGTTTATCTTACAATGATAAAGTTTATCTTACAATGATATACTGTTATCAATTTACTGTGATAAGAATCTAAATTGCCCCCACCCTGAGTCCCATCTTGCTAAAAGTACTGACCTAGGATGCACAGGATCCCATCAGGCCGAGACTTGCTGCTCTGGGTTAGGATGCTCTGTATCTGGCGGAGTCGGCTACAGCTGCAAAAAGAACAAGAAACAGTTCTGAGCACCAGCACAACCTGATGGTAAGAGCTGCACTTGGTATGAGATGCCCATGATAAGGCATGAGGAAGAGAAATGACTTTGCTAGGGATGGAAATCAGTCCTTGTTTGGTTCTAGCATCAAAACTACAAAATGAGTTCCTTTCTCTTCTGTTTTCTGGAAGAAACTGTACAGGACTGGCCTGAAGACTAAGTCTAATTACCGATTACAAACTGGATAGCCCCTGGATCTATGGCTCAACAGAAGTTACAGCTTAAGGCCCTCTCATGGTCAATCCTGGTCAGGAATAAGACTCAGCTGTTTACTTCCAATGATGTCTCCTTTTTGAAGATTTTCTTTCTTTTTTTAACTTGTTTCTTCTTTTATGGTACTGGAATTGAACCCAGGATCTCAGACAAGTGCTCTGCMGCTGAGCTATATTACCCAGCACCCCCAACACCTTTTATTGAGACAGGGTCTTGCTAAGTKGTGGAGCTGGCTTGAATTTGCAATCCCTTTGCCTTAGCCTCCCAAGTAGCTGGGATCACAGGTGTGTACCACCCCTAGTTCTTGAAGAAGAGTTTCCACACTGATTTTCCCTAACTGTAGTCTTCATCAGTGTTTCAAAAACAAACACATACAAAAAAACAAAGAAACTAGGTCTAATTCATTCCCACAGCTACTCCTTATGGAGGTATCAGCAGAAAATATGTTCTCCTTATGTACTCCCAGATATTAATGTCATTTCTAAGAACCCCATTTTCTCCAATCCAATAATCCTCCTTCCCAGCACTCCCAAAGAGGGGTGCCCAATTTTCTGCCCAAGATTAAGCCTTTGGACTAGGGATGTAGCTCAGTGGCAGAGCTCTTGCCTAGCACTGGGTTTGATCTTTAGCACCACATAAACAAATAAAACAAAGGCATTCTGTCCATCTACAACTACAAAAACATTAAGAAAAAAATATTAAGCCTTCTACCTGGTCTTCCCATCACTTCTGCCTGGTCTTCCCATCACTTCTGCCTCTACTATTCAATATTCCCTAACACTCCTTATATGAAATCACTTCCCTATAGTCAATAGAAATCCAGTCCTACCACACCATTAACTAAGATTATCCACAAACCCAATGACACTAACTGTTCTATCCATGACTGTGAGACTTCCCACCGCTTCTGAATCTGCTTCACTATAGTAACTGACACTCACCCAAACACAGGATTTCCAGTCAGACAACACTATTTCTCTTCTCTAATTCCCCAGCTTCCTTTCTCTTTTGGATTCTTTTCAATGGTCCTGTACCCTAACTTATTCACTCCATGACTTCTAGTCATCGTGCTGTTTTTATCAAGACTTTCACAATCTTGTACATGATATCAGAATTAGATAAAGGCAGAGAAAGAAAAGAAAGAACCAAACTACAAACCAATATCCATCACAAATACAGATACAAATCCCTTAACAGCCAGGCATGGTGGCACATGCCTATAATCCCAGTGGCTCAGGAGATGAGGCAGGAGGATTACAAGTTCCAGGCCAGCCTCAATAACTTAGAGAATTCCTAAGCAACTTAGTGAGACCCTTTTTCAAAATAAAAAACAAAAAGTGCTGGATGTAGCTCAATGGTAAAGTGCTCCTGAGTTCAATCCCCAGTACAATTTTTTAAAAAAGAAAGAAAGAAAGAGGGAGGGGAGGGAGGGAGGGAGGGAGGGAGGAAGGGAAAAGAAAAGAAAAGAAAAAAACAAATCCTTTAAAAACATTGCAAATAAGGGCTGAGGTTGTGGCTCAGAGGTACTGCACTCGCCTATCACATGCAGGGCCCTGGGTTCAATCTTAGCACCACATAAAAATAAATAAATACAATAAAGGTATTATGTCCAACTATAACTAAAAAAATAAATATTAAAAAATATATTTGCAAATAAGAATTAAGCAACATATAGAAAGAATTACACACCACAACCAAGTAGAGTTGATTCCAGAGATAACCAAGGATAGTTCATTATTCATAAATCAATCAATGTATTGCATAACATTAACAAACTAATGAAGAAAAAACATAAATTCATATAACTGATTCAGAAAAACCATTTGACAAAATTCAACATTCACTCACAATAAAAACATTCAGAAAATTAAGAATAGACTGCTTTCCTCAACTTGGAAAAAAAACATCTAAAAAAAAACCTTTCTGAGCCAAGTTCAGAATGTATATAATGATGAAGGGCAATCAGGAACAAGGTAAGAATATCTGCTCTCATCATTCCCATTTAACAAACATTGGAAGTTCTAGCCAATAGAATACAGTAAGAGAAACAGATTAAAGACATAAAAAATGGAAAGGAAGAAATAAAATTGCCCCTATTTGCAGATATGGCCTATTAACAAATATTCACAGAGAGAAAGTAGAATGGTGGTTGCAAGGAGTTTAATAAGAACAGAATTTATATTTTGCGAGATGAAGAGAGTTACGAGGATGGATGGTGGTGCTTTTAGTCTAATAAGTTATATGAATGTACTTTAATGCTACTAAACTGTGCACTTAAGACCAGCTAAGATGAAAATAATTGTTACATGCACCTTAATACAACTTTTTAGACTTTTTTTGTTCTTTTTAGATGTATTTTGATATATTATACATACATAAAGTAAAACACTCTTAATTAGAATCTCATTCTTGCAGTTGTACATGATGTAGAGTTTCACTGGTTGTGCATTCATATATGAACATAGCAAAGTTATGTCTGATTCATTCTACTGTCTTTCCTATTCCCATCCTGCTTCTCTTCCCTTCATTCCCCTTTGTCTAAGCCAAAGAATTTATATCCCCCCTCCTTATTTTATGTTAGTATCCACATACCAGAGAGAACATTTGGCCTTTGGTTTTTTGAGATTGGCTTRTTTCCTTAGCATGATATTCTCTAGCTCCTTCCATTGACCAGCAAAGGCCATAATTTCATTCTTCTCTAWGGATGAGTAATATTCCATTATGTGTATATTCCACATTTTCTATCATTCATTTGTTGAAGAGTACCTAGGTTGGTTCCATAGCTTAGCTATTGTGAACTAGCTGCTACAAACATTGATTTGGCTGTGTCATTGTATTGTGCTGATTTTAAGTCCTGCAGCACATATACCTAACTAGGCCAAATGGTTGTTCCATTATTTTCTGAGAGTGGTCGCACCAATTTGCAGTTCCCCAGCAATGTATGAGTAAACCTTTTCCCCTACATGCTCATCAACATTTATTGTTACTTGTATACTTGATAATTGCCATTCTGATTGGAGTAAGATGAAATCTCAGTGTGGTTTTAATTTGCATTTCTCTAATTCCTAGAGATGTGGGACATTTTTTCATATTATCTGTTGACCAACTGTATTTCTTCTTCTTTGAAGTGTCTTTTCAGTTCCTTTGCCCATTTATTGATTGGGTTATTTGGTTGGTTTGTTTGTTTTTGGTGTTAAGTTTTTTGAGTTCTTTATATATCCAGTTAATACAACTTTTTAGAATTAAAAAAATGTTGGGTTGGAGATGGGGCTCAGTAGTAGAGAGTCTGCCTGGCATATATGAGGCCTTGGGTTCAATCTCTGGCAACAAACACACACACACACACAAAAAAAAAAAATAAAAATGTCAATATCATATGAAACAAAAACAACAGAGGGCTGGGGTTGTAGATCAGTGGTAGAGCACTTGCCTAGCATGTGTGAGGCACTGGATTGATTCTCAGCACCGCATAAAATAAATCCATTGACAACTAAAAAAAAATATTTTTWAAAAAAAAGAGAGGAAGAACTTCATTTGATTAAAAAAAATGAAAACAAGGAAATATCTTGAGACATCTGAGGAAATCTGAATACCGACTAGAAAAACTGATGCTATTAGGGATCCACTGTTAATTTTCTTAAGTGAAATAATGTAATTGTGCTTCTATAGTTCAGCGTCCTTTTTCTTAGAGATATATAAGGAAGTAGATAGGAGTAAAATGTCATAATGGCTGCAATTTATTTAAGAATGGTTTAACATGAAATAAGAAAGATTGAGGAAAGAAGAAAAAAGATAAAGCACATGTGRCAACAAGTTAAAAATGGCTGAATCTGCAGGGTGCAGTGGCGCAYGGCTGTAATCCCAGTGGCTTGGGAGGCTGAGACAGGAGAATTGCAAGTTCAAAGCCAGCCTATGCAACTGCAAGGCACTAAGCAACTTAGTAAGACCCTGTCTCTAAATAAAATACAAAATAGGGCTGGGGATGTGGCTCAATGGTCCAGTACCTCTGAGTTCAACCCCCAGTACTCCCTGCCAAAAAATGGCTGAATCTAGGGCTGGGGCTGTAGCTCAGTGGTAGAGCTCTTGCCTAGCATCTGTGAGGCCCTGAGTTTGATCCTTAGCACCACATAAAAACAAGCAAATAAAATAAAGAAATTCTGCCTATCTACAACTACAAAAAAATTTTTTAAAAAAAGGTTGAATCTATGGTGAGCTAAAGATCAATTCATTGTATTATTCTTTCAGCAGTTCTGTAGGTTTGAATATTTTCACATCATAAAAATTGGGGGACTAGGAGGAAAGGGTTATATGGAGCAGCTGGACCGGAAATAGCAAGAACATTCAGAAAACTTCTTTCTTCAGTAAATGATTACTTGCCCCTCGTTAGTTTTTCAAGTTTAACCGAAGACTGATCTTGTAATCATTTTCTGTCTGCACTAGAAAGATTTCATCAAATTGCCTCTTTGGCCTATTTCCCAATCCATCCACCAGTGAGCTAACTAACTGCCAAGTTTACCAAGAGCTCTTTGGTTTTCAAACTTACAACCAGCCAGTGACAAAAAGCATGAACAGTTCATGTGACCAAGAAATAAACAGCTCCCTGACTCCTGCTGTAAAAAGCCAGGACAATACAGAAAACAGAGCTTCTTTTCCACAAGTATCGACCAAATAAAGTAGGAGCACATAAAACGTAAAAAGACCTTACTCTTCTCAGAGTAAAACATCCTAAT